CACACACACACACACACACACACACACACATATATATATATATATATATATATATACATTGGAATATTCAGCAAACCATAGCCTCTCACTTCTATCACTGTGTACATAATCTATATTTTCCGATTTGGTGACCTCATCACATGCATATCACGACAGCTTAATCACTTGAAACTAAAATAGCTAGACCTCGACTGCGGACATCGGCATACAGAGGTAGCTTACTTTGACAATCGGTGGGCGGGTCTGGAATTTCGTACCTACAACACGGATAGAACAAACGGGGAATGATATTAACAAGGCAGACGAGGCGGGTCATGAGTATAACTCACGTAGATGACAGGTCGATATTAAATGATAGCCAACATGCGGCATTCCCTGTGTCCACCTATAAGCTCTCGAGTGCACACTAGTAAAAACGTATACAATTAGGCGAGTCCAGTGGCGCCGAGTGCGTTATACTCAACATGCAAGGGATGTACCGATGCTCGATGATAGCCGCATGTGCCGCGGACGTGTGGTCTACTGCTTACACCGTGACCACACATTCGCATAGTAACTTGCGTGCACTCGGGTGTTACACAGGTATGTGTATATATATACATCCAAGCCCGTACATAACGCATATACAAGCCTAGGCGCAATCTAGAACCAGCACACGCCGAATGCTCGTCGAGGACAAGTGGCTGGGTGAGGCTGGATGAAGGGCATACGCAATAAACGTTTTTTGAGCAGCTCATTACTCATACTCGTACATTACTTAACGCACAGGCCGAGATATTGTCTATGCTCCACCGCACAACTACGCCCATACATACGCGCACACGAAGCAATGGGTCATATCCTCGCTGAAAATTAAGTGTATACATACATCCTTGAACCTCATTCTCCACATCCCACCCCCCTGAACAGTACTTGAACATACATACATCCTGCCCAATGATACTTTAATCTCCAAGTTGCACTGGGCGGAACACATACCGTCGTCGAGGTACAAGCGGATGTTCTTATGGTTGTACTTCTTTACTATGGCCCGACAGGTATATAGGCGGTGGGCCGATAGATCCACCCCGGTGGCGCTGCCTTCCGAGCCCACGCTATCCGCTATCATACAGAGCTTGCCACCTGCACAGACATGCATGTGTGTTAACAAAGACACACCAGTAGACAACTGTACGGGTGTAGCTATAGACATATATGGTAGAACTGCGTTGGTATTGAATGGTACGCATACATACAGCTGAAGTGGAGATAGACCAACAGATACGGTACTGCCGTCGGAGCCCAGGAGGCCGGTTACCTTACCGAGCCCTGCCACCCGGGCATGAGGCATTTGTGTGTACGGATATATACTCATACAATGGAATTTCAATATGTACACACATACATATATTTGTACACAGGCGAACAATAAGGTGGGCTATGCAAACGTTTGCTGGAAAAGCCATCGTCTTGTTGCGGTTGCTAGCAAGTATTTCGTCTTGTGAGGCGAGAAAGCCATTTTGAATCTGGTCGACCATGTGATATTCTTCTACTCATACTCGCCTGATGTATTGAGACCTCATATCGCTACTTCACTAAACAAACAAGGCAGACATCAGAATGCTATTTATAAAATAAACTATATTCTCTCACTTCAATCTGATTCAAAGCAAATATTTACCAAGAAATGCATCACAAACGAGAAGATGTAGACGGCTACAAAACTGTAGAAGTACAAGGAAAGAAAGCATAGCCTGGACTGGAAAATAGTGTCCGTGGACGGAATACACTAAACCTGATGTCATGAAGAGTTATATATATATGGACATATACATATACATATATATATGAATATATACAAATAT